TTTTTTCTACAATGACATCACACCTTGATTGATATCAAGTACTACCTCCGTCCCATTGGAAGGTTCGCATAGCAAAACGGCACGGTTACTTAGACAATAACTAAATAAAGTATTTCTGGTATATTTTGAGAAATAATTTTAATAGCTATATATTATAATGTAGTTAGTATTGATAACTGTGATGTTATAAATGTATTATTTTTAATATTTAATGATTAATTTGTCATTTAAAATTGTTAATTGTTTTCTAAAATGGAAATGAGAACCTTTATATTGGACGTCCATAAAAAGAAAGTGGGAACTTTCTAATGGGACGGAGGGAGTAACAGCTATTTCGTATTTTATTTAGAAATGAAAAAAACAATCATTCTATCAAGTGTTTACTAAATTAAGTTTGGACTTTGGACTGGATGTTTGAAGTGATTAAAGGTTCAAAGAGTATTTATACCTAGTGTTTTGAATTTTTGACATTTTTGTGTGGTAGAAAGTAAATTGTGCTTATATTTTGCAGGGGAAAAATTATTTTTAGGAATCGATAAAAAAATCAAGGGGTTTTTCCCTTAATATTACTAAATTCAACTCCATTTCCAAAAAAGTGACTTGTTAAAAAATTGACAAAAATGTGACTAATGGGGTCATAGTTTTGGAAAAACATGATGTAACTGTAAATAATTATGTCAATGTGACTTTTTCATGTCACTAAGAAGTTGTCACTGCCAGATTTTCATGTCACTTACGAATGTCATTGTTGCCGGAAACATGTCACAGTCGCCGGAAACGTGTCACTGTGACGACCGAAAAATTCTCCGACGACTTTTCCGGCGATTTTCCCAACGACACTGCCACCGCCCCCTCCCCTGTGTCACCCTAGCCCCCTCCCTGTGTCACCCCAGCCTCGGCCCCTCCCCTGCATCACCTCAGCCCGTGCCTCACCGAGCTCCTCCCCTACGTCACCCCAGGAAATCAACTACGCCATTTTCTCTCTTTCTCCTCATGCCTCCAACATCATGCCCATTCAGTCACAATTCTCCAACATCATGCCTATCCAACAAGATGCAAACCCAACCTTTCAATTCCATTTTTTTTTGAAAACAAATCTAGTTTTGAAAAACATAATTTCAGAAATTAATGGGAAGGATTGATGTGATTCTGGACAATTGGAGCGGCAGAGAAATGTATTCCCTTCCCCTCGTAGCCCTACTCCCGCCCCACAGCCCTCCTGCAAGCCTCGCAGCCGCCATCACCGTCCCAACACTGTCCACCACTTGTCATCGTTGTACTGAATCGCATCTTTGCTCAACCATAGCCACCATCAGATCTAGAAATCTAACCTTTCCAGGATCCATCAAGGAAGGCACAGAGAAGGCGCTGCGACAGAGCTCTGTGGGGGGTATGGCGATGAAGACCTTTGTCGATCGGTGAAGAGCTTACAGAGAAGGCGCAAAGAGGAGCGCAAGTATGACAAAGAAGATCGGCGGAAGGCGTAGAGAATTCGGGGGAGAGAGAGGCGGACTGATTGGGGGGAAAGGTGAGATCACTTTTTTGTCTAGTTAAAAAGTAGTCATATTTTTGTCTACCTAAACTCTCCAGGTGATATTTTTGCCATTCTTTCAAAAACCAATCCGTTTAGTATTGTTTTGGTTTGATAACGGTTCTTAATTTTTTATATAAGAATCGAATTGATTTTTTTAAAGGGTTAATTGTCAAAATAGGAATAAAAGCTGATCACTTTGCACAAATAGGACAAAAAAGTAAACTATATTTTAATAGGACTAATTATGTGTGTTGGACAAATATACCCTTGTTGCCATTAAAATATTTTAATTCATAATAAAATAATAAACAATGATAAAAATTCGTAAAAAATACTAAAAAATTAATAAAAATATTTACATAATAATAATTAATTTTTTTTAAAAAATGAAACTTAAAAAAAAACACAAAAAAAATCATCGCCGCCTCTACTGCCCCAACACCACCATCTCCAGTCATTGGGGGGGATGTCACATCCATTACGAATGCCATATTTATGGCAGATTCAATGGAAATTTTGACATTCTCAAAGAGTAATATATCATTTTTTGGCACTTTCATAAAAATGATTTTTTTTGGCATTTTCAGTGAAATATTTATTTTTTATTACTCCCTCCGTCCCGGTCATTTCTTCCAATTTTCCTTTTTGGGCCGCCCCAATTAATTCTTCCAACTTCCACTTTTGGAAAAAATATGTGGTTCACATTCATTCACTTTTTTCTTACACAACTACAACCATACATTTTCACTTTATTCCCACTACCTAAATTTGCGATACCGGTCAAAATTGGAAGAAATGACCGGGACGAAGGGAGTATTTTTCTACAATTTTTTAATTTTTTCGAATTTATTATGAATTAAACATTTAATTATGACTTTGGACTACATTTACTCATATTTAAAGAAGGAGTAAGAATGGAATGAAAAAATAGGTATATTTAAAGCAGGAATAATATTGTCCTATTTTGGGATAAAAAATAACAATTTCCTATTTTAGATTTTTGACAAAGTTTTACTCCTATTTGAAATAATTTGGGATAATTTAGTACTCTATAAGAATCGATTGGCCGCAATTGTGAGATATGATCCCTTCTATCCAATTGGCAGCAATGCAAGATAGCTCTGCAACTTAAGACAAGTGTTGAAATTGGCAACTAACTCAATTGGTACAAGTAAGAAGCAACTGATCATGGTTCACCCCACCCCACCCCACCCCCACCTCCACCCATCGCACGCACAAAGCGTCTCCCTTGCTTATAATTTGACCATGGCACCAGCTATGTATTTTGATAAATGTAATATATGTATATATAGCACACTATTCCAATGGCTTCCCGTGTGTGTGTTATGCTCCTTCCATTTGACTATAAACCAATATAAGAAGAAGAAGAAGAACGTGAAACAGCCTTTCTTGATTCTATATATTCTACCCATTAATTACCACATTCCACTTTATTTCTTTCTTTCTTTCTTTCACCTTCCACTGGAAAGAAAGACATTAAAAAGCAGTGAATCAGAAAGCAGTTCACTTTCCATATCAGTGAAATAGTTTTAGATAGAGATTGTTTTCAATCTTGAATATAAAAGCTGTTGGGAGTGGAGATGGAGAGGTCTCCTCCTGCATCCTGCCCATTACCTTCCTCATGCAATGAGCCCAATGCTGCTCTGTTGCAGCCCATTTTTATGCCCGTGCCTGAGGCTGGCCACAAACGCTCAAGAGCCAAGAAAGCCCGCCCTCCGCCGGCTTCTGCAGCTGGCCGAAAGAGTTCCATTTACAGAGGGGTAACTAGGTGGGTAATTAAAATGAAGTTATTTTTTCTTCTGTTGTTTCTTATTATATCCATGCTACATGTGGAATTTAAACTTATGGTCGTGTTTTTTGAGGCTTTTCATTGCATGCATTAAGTTTGGGTTTCTGCATTTTATTTCCTCTTAGACCCCTTTTAATTTGTTGGTTCGTGTGAAAAAATTGCGGATAGGAGTAAAGCCACATGACCATCCTTGCTTTCTACGGAGTACTGATTGTTTTAGATTCATTGATTCTAATCGAAGAAAGTAATGCAAATTTGAATAACACATAGGTTACATGTACAAATATGGCTATGCTTGATTTCTAATTAGGGATAAGGGTCAGATGGGACCTAGAACTTGGAAAAAAATGTCAAATTAGGCCATATTTAGGATGCTCTGTCCGGCCGACGCCATTTGGAGCGGTTCCCGGTGGAATTTTTTGATTATTTTTTTTAGAATCTTATTCATTAAGTCTAGTTTACTCATATCAAATTTGAACTAAAACTTCAATCGGGAAGGCATTCAAATGAATTCTTGAAGATAACTGCTCTTTTAACTGCGCAGTTATCTTCAAGAATTCATTTGTATGCCTTCCCGATTGAAGTTTTAGTTCAAATTAGATATGAGTAAACTAGACTTAATGAATAAGATTCTATAAAAAATTCATCAAAAAATTCCACCGGGAACCACCCGAAATGGCGTAGGCCGGACAGAGCATCCTAAATATGGCCTTATTTGACATTTTTTTTCAAGTTTGAGGCCCTATCTGATCCTTATCCCTTCTAATTATAATTGGCTTCATTTCGTAAATAAAAGTAGTTAACGATTCTTACCAGGTCCAAATTTTACTCCAAATTCTTTTGAGACTGAGGTTTGAGTATTGTTGTAATGATTCCTATTCGGAATAGGAGTTCTATTTCTTAAGACGATATAATAATGCGCCTGTTTGTAGAAATCTGTTATGTGCAAATTATAATAATTGTGCCTAAGCTATTTGTATAATAATGTTATGTACAAATATACCCATTTTTTTTAATAATGCTTCAGCCATAGTATACCATTTTTATTTATCCTTTTACTTTAGATGTTTGTTCACTTTTGGTAGCACCCAAGAAAATGTATTATGTGCATTCTGGTTAGCTTTTCTTTTTGTTTCTCCTCATTGGTTATATGAACTTCAAATTTTCCACCTGACATATGGTCATATTGAAATGCAAGCAAGAAAATAAGTTCCACTGCTTCTTAATACAATTTTTAAGAAATTAATTATCAAAATGATAGGCATAGATGGAGTGGGAGGTATGAAGCACATCTATGGGACAAGAGTTCTTGGAATAGCACTAAGAGCAAGAAGGGAAAACAAGGTGGTTGCTCTTCTGCTCAGTTTTTTTCTTCATTAAAAGAACTGTACCCTTTTTAGGATTGGAAAAAGGTAGAGAGACCTAACGCATCTACAATCTCAGTTTATTACAGTAATTAATTGCATCTAACCCTTTTCTTGATATTTTTCATATTCTGATATCCGGACTACAATTTTTAATTGGAAATTCCACAAATACTTCTGTGGCGGTATTAGTCTATTTGGGTAAGTTAGGATCTGGCCTATATCAACTTCCCTTTATAGTTAAAGTATACATATAAAGTGCTATTCGTGGTAGCTAGGTACTAAAGAATGATAAATGTGACTAATTGTTGTGTGTAGGGGCATTTGATAGTGAAGAGGCTGCAGGAAGAACGTATGATCTTGCTGCTCTCAAGTATTGGGGTCCTGAAGCCAACCTTAATTTCCCGGTACATACAAATTTAGGATCACTTACTTTAAAGTCTCCTAGGGTATGCGTTTTTATGTATTTAAGTAATTATGATAGGTGGAAACGTACATGAACGAGCTTGAGGACATGCAGAGGTTGTCGAAAGAGGAATTCCTGGCTTTGTTAAGGCGGCATAGCAGTGGATTCTCCAGAGGTGTTTCTAAGTACCGAGGCGTTGCGAGGTAATAAACAAATTCTGGTATTCCTTGTTTTGGGAAACAGTTGTCGTCGATTGGGACCCATGTTTGTGTGAGTTCACCACATAGGCAGTGTCAACTTTGCTTTTTAGTCCAAGAGCTAGGAGATCACTGTGTAGTTGAGCCATTGTTACATAATGAGAGATTATTGTGTAATTGTAGGCTAATTATATTGGGATAGATTTTGCTTGGTGTTAAAGGAACCCAAAGTGACATTATCACCTTTAGGGATTAATGACTAGCTAATATCACTTTTGGCTCATCAACTTTTCAAATCGATTCAGTCCAAATTGTACTACTCACTTTTACAAAATTTGACCCTGTTCGTGTCAGAGCATTTTGCATATTTGTAAGTAAATTTGATATATAAGGAAAAGTTAATAGGTGAGAACCAAAAAGATGCAATGGCACCCGGGGATAGAAACTGGGATGCACTCTCTTATTCAAGAATGAGCACACAGTGATTTATCCTTGAGTAGGAGAGGGAAAACTACACTATTGGAGATAAAACTTGATTTCAAACTTGGAGTAAGAGTTGGTGTGGATATACAGAGCTTTAGCTATTTATATATAAGTGCATGTAATAATTCGATAAATCCATCAATCACTTAGACACACACAAAAATTGGATTATGTATGACAGGCACCACCAAAATGGTAGATGGGAAGCAAGGATAGGACTTGTAACTGGGAGCAAGTATCTCTACTTGGGAACATTTGGTATGTCTACTGTTCATAACTATCCCCAATGATGGAATATATATTTTTTAAAAATAAAGTGGTTGGTCATTTTTTAAAAATAAAGTGACCTATGACACATCTGGAGTGTTAAAATGACTCATAGCCTGACCTCCATATGTATGTATACTTTTGATTGTTGGTATTGATGCCTAGAAGTGAAGGTGTGTTTCTTTGACAAGTTGAGACCGATCCGTTTAAGTGATCTCCTTCATAAATTTTCCTAATAGACACTTATTTAAGAACGAAGGGAGTGGAATAGTAGTAGTACATTAAAATCTGCTAGGCTTCTAATGTATTTTCCTGGCTTTCTGAAAACCTTTTTTGTTGAGTTTGTGTTAATTAGGACTCTGACGCAATTCTAGCTAGCTAGCTTGAACAATTAAAGAAGCCTCATCTTGAAAGTAACAATTAAAGTAGTTTATGTGTCCGACCACTTGGTGGGATGACCAGGTGAAGAAATATCATAGTCGCTTGACATTTCTAGCAGCAGGAGGCAGCAGCCAGACATGGACTACTTCCAGACACAACCCTCATATAGTTTAACAATTTGTCATTGACTATCAAATATATGTTGGGATTATTGATTTTTTGTTTCGTTCGATGATAGCAAAGCATAGATTATCCATGAAACCATTCTAATTTTGAGTTAGAAAGTGTTGATTGATTTATAAAATGTACAACACACAAGGGGATTGAACACTTTACGAGCCTGACTAAATGGGGGAGGGGATGTACTCCTTATTAATGAATGTCTGGCGTGATTGAAGGGACCGAAGAGGAAGCAGCAGCGGCATACGATATGGCAGCACTGGAGTTGAAAGGCCCTAACGCAATAACCAATTTTCAGATCAAGGCTTACGAACACAAGCTAAAGGAGATTGGGGAGCGGAGTAGTAGTTCCCAAACCAATCCTCCTCCTCCTCCTCTTAATGATCATCAAGATAATAGCAAAATTAGAATTGAAGGTGATAATGTACAAGTAGAACGGCTATTCACCGAGGAAGAGGCTCATCCCGAGGCCGAGTCATTCTTATTAGAGGCAGCAGATGTTGACAGTCTGGCAGCAGGAAAAGAGTGGTGCTGCCCTTGGAGTTTATGCTTGGATGAGGAGCCTCCCATGTCTCTTCACCATCAGGTCAAGCCTCTCCACTTTGAATTCTTGAACGACTCCAGCTTCGAGGATGAAATCGATTTTGTCTTTGGGAAACGGGTAAGGGCTGCGGCTGCTGATCAGTTTGGGAATGATGATGATGATGTTTTGGGCAGTGGCAGCGGTACACAGCAGCAGTAGCTAGTACTTCTATATATATGGCCATGGATGCTGCTGCTGCTGCTGAATCCGTGACGTCTTCACTCTTCTTCGTCGGTTCCAATAACATCACTGTCTTCTTCTTATTGTCCAGGGTGGGGTTATTTGGACCAATCGCCATGCTAATTAGTAGCAGGCGGCGGCAGCAGCAGTGGTGGTGTTGTGGTTGTTCACCCTTTATGTTCTACTACTGGGACTATATTTTAACTCCGCGTCTTTCACTCACATTCTATTCACCATTTCTTTGCTGCTCTTTCATCATTAATTTATCCTACCTCGTTTTATTATAGGTGGTATCATTAAACATCAGTCTTACAACAACCTCAACATCAATAAAAAACCAAAAACATTATATATGTTTACATATACATTCAAGCAACTATGTTTCATAACAATCAAATATGTCATTTATTCAAAGGCAAATCCCCTAAGATCGTCACACCATGCACATCCCAACATGACTTTGTTTTATGTCCGGCCATTTTCTGCCTCGATTTTTTTTCTATCTATTTTTTCCTTCTACAATTCTCTTCTTCTTGTTCACTAAGAATACAATCATAGTTTTATTCTCTTCTTCCTCTTCAACTTAAATTATAAATAAATCTAAAAAAAATTGTCTTCCTTATAAATTTACTACTAAAGTTTTATTTATTGAAACAAAAAATCATATACAAGTCCATATACGAGTACATAACTTTTGGTTCAATATATATTTTTATATTTCATTCATGAAAAAAAGAAACAAAAGAGGCCGGACAGGCCGGTTTTGAAATGTCACATCCCAGATAAATCTGGCACCATCAATAGCTATAGTACAACTTGCCAGGGGTAACAACAATCCATCCATGTTAGATCCACAAATTATGGGTGGTAGCCAGGTGCCACAAATGTTAGATCCTGGATTCGAATCTCATCAACTGCAATGAGAGGTTACTATACTAAAAATGCATAGGACCTCTTCAAGTACCGGGGACATAGCCTTTCTCTATCTGTCAGATTGTAATTATAGTCCAACTTACATCCTCCCAACGTACCGCCCGGTCGGGGTTGGGGATCCTCAGGGATGGGGTGTTTGGATCTGATTCTTAAAACTACTCCTTCAGGGAGTAGAAGCTTAAGTTGGAGTGTTTGGGTGAAAGTGTAAAAGTGATTCTGGTGCTCTAATTTACTCTTAGAATCATTTTTTTAGAAGCTGTGGGTGATCAGCTTTTGAAAACTGATTTTGATTCTGCTTCTGCTTTAAAAAACAAGCAGAAACAGAATCAGTTCCAAACACTCCCTATATTATGTATGTCATAACACTAACCGCAACATAGATTCATCAATAAATCACATTTCCGGCTACATATTTACTCTGTCAATTCGATTTTTACTGCACTCCAACACAATCAATATATTCATCCATCGATTTTTTTGTAATTAAAGGCTTACTTTTATCATTATACATCGTTTTTTTCAAACTTTTTTTACAAATATTTATGATTGAAAAGGTCCCACTTTATGATGTAAAAATATGAGACACGAGATCAATTTGGAGCTTTCTTGTGTTAATTCAGACATATTTGTAAAAAATGAAAGATGTAAAAAAAATAAACATGAGATCTAAAATTTAGCACTTCAAAATATTAGAAAAATTTTAGATCTGAAAATTATCGAGTAGTTGAAATTTCATATTTTTTTTGTAACTTTATATATGTATTATTGGTGTCATATGAGAGATAATAAAAAGTTGAGATTTTTTATATGTATTTTTATAAAAAATGGAGTATAAATAAAAAAGTTATAATACTTTTTAAAAAATTGGGATTAATATTTTGTATGGGTTCTATTATTTTTTGTTACCTGCGCACAGCATTCCCATCAAACCCTCATCTCCCTTCTGTGAATGAAAAATTCCTTTTTTTACACGCCGGTCAAATTGTCTGTGTACAGACAGTTTGATCGGCTGCACAGACAATTTGACCAACGTTTTATGAAGAAAAACGATTTTCACATAAACAAAAATAAATAAAATCGTTGTATCACAGACATTTTAAAATTCTCGTTTAAAATTGTCTGTATCACATACATTTTATGAAAAATTCTCGTCTAAAATGTTTGTGATACAGACAACTCTTTATTTTTGTCTGTGTAAAAATCGATTTTCTTCATAAAACGCCGGTCAAATTGTCTGTGTACCCGAACAAATTGTCTGTACACAGACAATTTGACCGTCGTGTACACGAAGCGGGACTGTGCCCCCATTTCACTTAGGGTGTGTTTGGAAATCTGATTTTGGATGGGAGGGGAAGGTTGGTGGGGGTTTATGATCTTCGTATTCATGTTTGAGAGTTTATAAAATTGGAGAGAATTGTTTTGGAGGGCTTTCGTGACCCCCCAAAATCATCTAAATGCTCAATTTTTTATTTCCACCAATTTGAAGGGTTTTGAAGGATAATTAACAAAATAATAGTTTAAGCTCAATTAAAAATAAATATCAGTTCAATTAATTGAATTCGTCATATCTCAAAGTGATTTTAATTATGATTCATTCAAAAACTCTCTTCTTCCAAATTTATTACTCCAAAAAACAAAAAAAGGGTTCCTCACTCTCCCCTCATTTTCCCATCCAACAACATACCTCCAAAGCCTTCCTCTCATTCCATACTCCCAAACATACCCTTATATTAAAAATAAGGGTTTTGGAGGAGAGGGGAAGATTGATGGGGGTTTGTGACTCTCCTTTTCATGTTTGAAAGTTCATAAAATTGGAGGGATGATTTTGGAGGGCTTTTGTGACCCTCCAAAACTTTCTTAATGCTCAATTTTTTAGTTCCCCCAATTTGGAGGATTCTGAAGGATAATTAACCAAATGATAATCTAAGCTCAATTAAAAATAAATATTAGTTTAATCATTTGAATTCGTCATATGTCAAAGTCATTTAATTTTAACTATAATTCATTCAAAAATCATCTTCTTTCAAATTTATTACTCTCAAATACAAAGAAGAGCTTCATCACCATCTCTCCCTTTCCCCCAACAACATACCTCCAAGGTCTTCTCGTTCCCTTTCCTCCAAACTCCCAAACATATCTTTAAGCGTCCTTTAATACAATAGATTGGAGCATTTTATGGGGTGAAAAAGCTCAAATTTGGCTTTTCACCCCTCCAATTGCGGGCAGCCTAAGTGGTCACAACTAGGGGTGGGCAAAAATACCGGAAAATCGGTATACCGCACTAACCGTACCGAAAAATACCGAAAAATACCGGAATATTGGTATACCGTCATTTTCGGTACGGTATCATACCGTATCGATTTATTTCGGTACGATAACGGTAAATGTTTTCAAATACCGCGGTATACCGGTATAATACCGTACCGACTCGCTTACCAAACAATTACTTTTAATTCTAAAATATTGTAAAAGTCTATTACAATTTTGAAGCCTGAATTAATACTTGGGTTGTTTACAAATACCAAAATACACAAATAAAGGCCCAATTTCCCAAACTCACTATAACCTTTTAGGCTTCTACTAACTAACATTCAAACAAACTAACATGATGACTAATGAGTAATGTACTAATGTCCAAAAACAAGTCTATCTTATTCCAAGAACTTGCGTGTCGCGACGGCTGAGCCGCTGAGTAGCTGACGAGTGAAGAAGGATACACTTATGTGATGAATAGACATAGTGATTCCACAAGTCGAGACACACGACGTTGTCCAAAAGTCTTATTCAAATATTTTTTAAAATTATAAAAATGACTAAATACACTATCATATTAGGAATAAGTGATTTTATATCCATGTTGTTTGAATAATTTTATTTATATATGTTAGAGATCACTATTGATTTAAGTATGTTTATATTGTTCAAGTTATTTTAGGAGAATGCATTATTTTTTACTATGTGACATGTTGAACTGCTTAAATATACTAATAATAATTATTGGTCAAGATTGAATATGATATCAATTTATTATTAATTGTATTGTGTAGCATTTTAATAATGGATTAAATATGTCGCTAGTAACACCGATTTAGTAAATTTCGTTAGTCTATGATAATTTGTTGTATTGGGAGACATGCATGGTAATTTACCGATACCGTACCGTTACCGAACCGAAACTTCGGTATACCGAAATGCGGTATACCGAAACTTCGGTAAGGTAAAGGTATATAAATTTCGTATACCGAAAGTTTCGGTACGACAAAGGTATGAGAGAAAATATTCGGTATACCGTACCGAACCACCCCTAGTCACAACATCACTAATAAGGAGTATCTTATTGGGATTACACAATAACAAGAACGATATCCCAATCTAAACTGCAAATTAAAAACCCAAGAACAAAAACCCAATCTAAAATAATAATTAAATTAAAATAATACTAGTCCATATGTATGTCTAATTAAATAAATGAATTATACTACGTAACAAAATAGTGATCCACAAACCAAGTCTTAACTAAAAATCATCTTCTGCAAATATAAAAGTGCAAATACAAGCTTCAAACTAAGAAAATTAGTGGGGAGGTCAATACTAAACATCACACTAATACTTACAAGAAAATACATTTATGAGATAATAAGCGTTGAGTAATAGTACAAAAGACTCTTGAAATATGTGATAATGCAGATAAGCACTTTACATTTTATTTATGTAAATAGTCATCCTGTGAGCCTATTTTATACGGTTCCCTTTTAATTACAACAGTCAACATTTCACGTTTGACAATGCACAAATTTGATCATTAATATCTTTCATTCCTTATTAGTAAAGAATTTAAAAAATTCATATTTTGAAAATTTAGAATGAGAAGAATTTAACAATATTTTTTAAAAATATAATTTATAATACATTAATTAATAAAATATAGTCAAAGTAAAAATGCAAGTAATACTACGTATTTAAAGAGAACGGAAGTAATACTATGTAATACTATGTGAATAATGCAAAAAGTCAAATGTTGCAATTAAAAGAGAACGGAAGTAATACTACGTATTTAGCAAAAACAATCATTCCTTACACCTTTGCCACAAGGAGTCATGTATGACCCTCTCTCACTCTAATAATCCGCCAAGTTTGAGAGGAGTTGGATTTGATTCCATAGCCTCGCGGACACAAGTCATGCATCCCAAAGTCATACTACCTCTGTCCCAAAAAACATTGGACACATTACTTCACGGGTTACTAAACGATGCTCATTGAGACTCGTGTTAATAAGCGGTGCATAAAATAAACAGTGTTGTAAGCTCATGTTATAACGCCCCTCTCAGGGT